ACTTGTCCCATCCCTACAATAAAGTGCAGGTTACTGAGCAAACTGAGGGGTGTCCCAATATGCTTGCTATCTTGGCTAAACGTGGTTGGTGGGATCTGCTCCTGTTTGAATCTCATCCTTCATCTGTTAATCCTAAGGTGAGGAACAATGACCACCAAGGACTGGTTATTGTCATATTGTCAAAGAGAAGATTTGTGTTGGAAAAAAAGGTATCATTCTATCGTGTATATTAGGTTATTAATGTTATAAAGTCTCTGATTCCAACCCATTATACAATGCTTTTAAAAAAATCATCAGTGACGATGAGAGGCCAGAGATTTCCATACTGTGTGTTGCGACATTTTATTGTGTCGGCTTCAGTGTGAAAGTGTGTCTCGCTGACGTCAAACAGTATTATCGGTTTGCAACGCAACGCCGTCAGTGCTAGTGTATACAGCTATACAATTTAACTGAAGGCATTGCAGCGCTAACGCCTTTCATAACAATTTTCATGAATTATTTAACATTTTAACTTGGTTTTTTTTACATTGGATAATTCAATTCCGCAGGTGAAGAGTTTAGGAAAATGTTTCTTGTAGTTTCCGGACAGTGGTCTGAGAATCTCACCTTCGAATAAAATTGGGTCTTCCTCGGGTAATATTCCTAAGACACTTCTTCAAACACTTTAGCCAACCTTCATTGTGGAGACGGCATCGACTCTTTTTATACTGAACTACTGATTCGCGAAATTATTTTTGCCTTAAGGTTTGTTACAACCTTGAAATGTTTATAAAGTTCTAAGTTAAGCCATGATTTGTAAGCCTAGTCGTCAAGTCCACACACAATGTTCTGAAGCAGGTGGCAATGAAATGAGTGTAAACGGACACTGAGGCTATTTGGTGAAGCTGCAGAGACAGCTTCTAGTTGGCTCTGGACCGAAGGTAACGACGTGAGGGATATGCCTTGGTAGATTGGTCTGAGTCTCTAGTAGAAAAAGTTTTTAAAGTCTCTTAAACCTAAGTTATCCGATTAACGTCTGCCCCTGCAACTGCCAGATGCTAAAGTTTGTCGGATCAATGTCTGCTTGATGAACTAATCATCTACTTGTCACACCGGCTCTGAGAGGTAGGCGGTGATTTTGCTACCATACAATGATCATCATAATCTCAGTACCTGTTGAAACCACCATAACGTCTTGCCCGATAAGAGCAGCAGGAGATGTCTGAGGCCTAGGAGTCAAGACCCAGGTCGCCCCCCCCCCCCTTTCCACCAATCTAGATTGTCTAGGGGATAAAGGGCCGGAACATTTAATGAAGGGGGAACCACCTACTGGGGATCGGTAGACTCCTGCCGCACATGCTTCCGCTGTGGAGTTCTGCTTCTCTGCTCATCCGTGACATCGAGAGAATCGCACAGGATAGAACAGACTTGAGGACTAGACTGCGAGGCCTACGTGATGCATAATGGAATGACAGAATGATCCCTATGATGACTGGCAGCTTTAAAAAAATCTAAGAGATTACACCCTGAATTTCTGTATAACAATTGCACATTTTTTTTTCAAGGATAACACAAATGAACACTCAGTAAACTTTACTTGTGCATGTACTATGTATAATTTTTACGTAATTTCAAATCTAACATATGCCAGCGAAAGTTTGATAACCATCAATAATATTAATATGCAACCAAAGTTACATGCATTTGAAAAAAAAAATTCATTAACTTCAAATTACTGGAATATAAAAAGAGTGAGTAGATCGGAGAAATATCTAGACAAATACCTGCATCGAATGAGGAGATCGGAGAAATATCTAGACAAATACCTGTATCGAATGAGGAGATCGGAGAAATATCTAGACAAATACCTGTATCGAATGAGGAGATCGGAGAAATATCTAGACAAATACCTGTATCGAATGAGGAGATCGGAGAAATATCTAGACTAATGCCGGATCGAATGAGGAGATCGGAGAAAGAATCTAGACAAATACCTGTATCGAATGAGGAGATCGGAAATGAGCAGAGATTACTAAAACGGGCGGCTGCAAGAAGACAAAGAAGCTAAAGATATACTGGGCACACTTTGAGACGAAATGAGCAGAGATTACAAAACAGGCACTGAAATGCAAAACAAACGGTCTGAGTGAGAGAGAGAGAGAGAGAGAGAGAGAGAGAGAGAGAGAGAGAGAGAGAGAGAGAGAGAGAGAGAGAGAGAGAGAGAGAGAGAGGACGTCCAAAGGACCTAATTACGAGAGGAAAAGCTTTGCTGGGCTGCACTTTCGAGCAAGTGGCATACAATAGAGTGTAGTGAAGGAATCGAAAGTGAGCACTATGCGACGTGTAACGGCACACAAAGAAGGATGATGGTGAAACCATACATGTTTCTATGTTTCTTGAACGTGAAAAATGGCTGCGAGGCGTTGCTCAGATAGGTCCCATTATCACTGTGTGATGAATGACAACAAAAACTATCTTTTATTTAGACTTTTATTACGTCTGTAAGATCATAACTGCCTGTAAAACGACAGACTCAAATACAGACTATCTGGTTCTTTTTCTTCTTAGCGATCCCCGGCTGTAAACTCCGGCTGAAAGTTCTGTTTGGTAGTCCACTTCCGGACTTCGGTCTTTATCCGGAACTTGAGTTGTGTGTGCACATCTAGCCGCCAACGCCACAGCGACTCCCATTTGAATGCTATGATTTCTCATATTTCCGAGTACTTTTGTATGGCTTTTATATTATCCGATACATACTCTTCTTCTTCTTCTTCTTTCGTTCGCTTGAAATAGATTATCTATATCTGCTATGTTGTCTTTAGTATGAACTTCACTGTCTTTTGTAATTCACTCAGCGACCCGTAAAGTTTGACTTGCACCGAAGTTTCGGTACATATTTATTTATACTTTTTATTACTGAACATCATCATCATCAATCAGCAGGTCCTTTACAAAACATCGCTCTCTTCACGGCACGCCTGAAAGTATCCCTTTCCCTAGCTAGGTCTCCGGCCCCATGTGCTTTAAATGACAATGCATCTTTAATATCGTGTATCCATCTTCGAGTTAGTGGTCGACCCCTGTCCCACCTTTAAAAAAATTCACCCTCCATCACCGTTTTTTCCAAGCCACCATGACACTTGATGTGGACAAAATACTTCAACTTTTGGGACAGGATGCTGTTTATGAGCCAGTTCTCCTTGATGTTCAACTCGTTCAGAATGTCGATGTTTTTCCTCTTCCTGATCCATAGTATTTTAAGAATTTTTCTATAACATTTCAATTCAACAACTCCTATAATTTCCCCCCAGTGACTGAGTGAGAGTCCAAGACCCACAACCGTAAGTTGCCTCAGGAAAAATGCATGACCTCAAGATTTTTACTTTAACCAATTTACTAGTGCTTTGCCGTAGGTTCTTCGTGTTATTTATTCTCTGCATTGCTAATACAAGTCTTCTTCTGACTTCTTTTGAGCAGTCGCTACTGTTATTCACTAAAGAGCCCAAGTATTCGAAATCTGTTACATTTTCTAATTCTTTATTTTCGATTGTGATACGTGGTTGGTGTGCTGTATTTACTAAGGACAGAATTGCCAAACTCTCTAGCGTAGTTAGCTAAACCGGATTGCTCGGACACCGGGTGACGAACTCCATGTGGTCCGGGTTCAATCTCGGGGTTAGGCAGGAAAGCCACATTTTCTCCAAGATTTACGGTATTTACAATGGAATCAAGGCCGAAAGGTTGCAAAATCCATAAGACCGAGCCTAAGGGTTAACAACTCATGGCTTCTGGATAATAAAACAAGGACAGAATTGTTTTTTAAATAATAACAAAAATTCACTTCTTCGTTGTGTTTTTTGACGGCCAGAATTAATTTTTCTAAACCTTGTACACTGTTGGAAAGGAGAACTGTGTCGTCTGCAAATCTGAGTTCTGGGATAGGATTACCTCCAATGTTATAGCGGATCATAGCTCTCACATGCCACATCGCTAATTGCTAATTACTGTACATACCATTACAATATCATCATCATTATCAATAACCTCCACCTTTGTCGGTCAGAGGTGTGGGGAGGAGTAGTTTGCCGTCAAACACTCGTTGGGTAGCACAGGTTATTGACATGTTGACTTACACATCATTAATCCATCATCACCTTGAACAGACTCTCGCTTTCAAATGAGATCTTTTAGCTGTAACTCCTGTGTTGATAGCATTCTAACGAGATGACCGAACCATGCAATTGTATGCTCCTCGTTGAATTTGGTGCAAGGTGTTGTTACCCTAGACTGATATATATGTGTGTGTGTGTGTATATATATATATATATATATATATATATATATATATATATATATATATATATACACACACACATAAACACAACATCAGGACTGGATCGGGCGATCATGCCTTACCACAACATAGATCTTCAACAGCATGTATCAGTTCATTTGCTGACACCTCTAATGACATAATTAAAGGTTATCACGAATCTGCTGGCATTGTCTTTCTCTTCAGATAATTTATGACGGCAACAATTCTCCTCATGCGTACATCCGTCTTCTTTTTATTTGTTTTGTTCTTCAGAGTTTACTTAAAATTACACTTCAAAATCTTCTTTTTCGTTCTTCTAAAGGTAATAATATGTATAATTCAACATTAAAATACAATTAAACATCAATAATAAAGTTGCAACGGTTTAAAGTTAAAAATACGAAAAAATCGACTTTATTTTACCGTGGTTATCCCGTATGATGGTCTCTCTGCAGAATGGCCAGCCAACCCACAAGAGCGTCATACAAAGCACACACTCTACAGCTCTAGCGACGACCTCGAGGAACCTGTCCAGCTGCTTTCTTAGACTGTACGACGCAGTCTGAGATATGAACCCACGACTTTGAGAGCGCGAGGCAAACGGCATGAATCTTTAGAAATAGAAAACACAAAAAGAAAAAAAGAAAAAAAACCGAGTGGACCAGTATGCCACACATTATTATCTGCCTAGTTCAAACGATAATAACTAGGAGATCTGCTCTCCATTTTTGAACTTTTCCCACTTTGACACAAGGACAGGGATTGTGTACAGAATTGGGTTTGCAGCGGAGTTTAAGGGAAGAAGAAGAATGGTTGTCCAGGCATAAACCTCATCGCTGACATAATGGCCGCCAAGAGACATAAGTCCCATCAATCCAATAGGAAACCAACAGAGAAAATTTGACAGAACTACAAGAGACAGTTGCTTGGCAACTGTTATATCTTCTGCACGTCGTAAGCGGGACATGTTAGTTGCTGTCTTGGGTATTCTGTTCTCTGAGATGGCACGGAAAATTGCGTATTGCCCGTAAACAATGAAGAGAAACATGATAAAATTGAAAAAAACAAATACTCCAACTGAGTACTCCCAACCAATTCCTCGTACGCTTGTTAAAGGCAAACCCAGACACATTGCGTTAGAAGAATACATACTGAAATTCATTAATAAAGGAATCAGTGACAACAATAAACCAGTGACCCACACAAAAATGACTGCAGCAATTTTAGAAAGTCTGGAAATGCGTTTTTGGCCAAAAGGATATTTTATGACTAAAAATCTGTCCAGTGTGATCAGTAGAGTAAATAAAGTGGATGTTTCGTGGGAAAGAGTTGCAATAAAACCGGCAGAATTGCATGCAATACTTTCTCTCCACTTTCTGTCATAGAGAACATAATTGCCACGGTAGAAGTGATCAGCTCCTGCAATAATGAACAAATAGACTCCCATGATAAAGTCAGACACACCCAAGTTTGTCACAAACAGACCGTATCCCCTCTTCAGAACTGACCTGTCCCATATTAGACGGTATACAATAACCGTCGTGTTCCCCATAAAAGCGAGTACGGCAACCAGCCAGAGAAGAACTCGCTGAAAAAATAGCCCTATGAGATCAAAACATGAAGAAATGGCTTCTGTGGGAGACTTACATGCATGAGCTGGGATATTGGAGCCTCTGACTTTAGGACAGCAAACCTGATATTGATCTGTATAGAGATTCTGACTAACTGCGACTCCGTGAAACAAATCTGCCTGAAGTCGCTCGATGAGGAGTCCTTGTAAATCCAGAGTATGTAGAGTTAGGTCTGCTGGGAAATACTGCCTGCTGAAATCTGAAACCAGAGTGTAACTTATGTTAAGATGTTTCAAGCGAGGCAACCCTGCAAACACAAGGTCGTGTAGGTATGAAAGCCCGGTGTGAGAAAGATCCAGTACCTCAAGAAAAGTGAAACGCAGATGTTTCAGGGAAATTAGACGTTTGTTGTAAGACACATTGAGGTTATGAATATACGGGAGCATATCACTGAAAACTTCATTGTTGAAGATTTCTTGAATCATATTATAACTAATATCTAGACTTTGAATATTAAAAGGTGGATATTGATTGGAGGTTTCATTTTCATAGAAGTCTATATTACTGATGCTGCATTTAGAAAGGATCAGAGCAACTACTTTTGGAAACCTTTGTTTAACTTGATAAAACAAATATTCTGTTTGAGATAAATCTATTCCTAACAAATTCAGGTACCTGGTACGTGCGCCTATGTCAGTGAAACTGTCCAGATCTAAAGACTTTGACAGTGTTACTGACACTGTGCCAGCGGTACAACGAAAACCTTCAGGACACAGTGTGTGACAATTTAGTTCATCGTCTTTGTGTGGACAATCTGCATGTCCATCACAAACGAAATCTGCATGAAGACAAACTCTACTGTCCCAGCAAGCGAAATGTCCTGTACATGGCCCAGTGTTGAACGGCTGCTCGTCCTCTCCTGTAGGACAGTCAGCTTTCATGTCAAGAAGATAGTGTTGAGGGATGCAGTACGAGTTGAAGCATTTTACATATCCCTGACCACACGTGAAGTTCTCACAGTCACTGAGATGGGACATGTCTCTACAACCTACGACACCGCCGTAAATGTCTTTGATGTAAACACATTTAGGAGCCCATGTCAATTTACCCTCGCTGCTTACACATGCGTTGACAGCTGGCAGTTTTCCTATCGTCTCATCCAAACTGTCAAGTCCTCTACAGTCATCAACGCCATCGTTTAGTTGAGTCATATTTATACAAGTGTCAAAGTTGCAAATAAGAGCACATGTTTTGTAATCTTTCAGGTATACATCGTGAGCCGGGTTCTCATCCGTCATGCGTTTGGGGTTGTAAACAATACAGTCTAGCTCCCCATCATTGAAATACTGGATAGGCAAACAGGGACCCTCCAAGCAACGTCTGTTAGGTGCACATTCTTGCTCAGTGGGAGAGTAAACGTTGTCCTGTTGAAAGCAATACTTTTCGTCTCGTCTGTTGCTACAATGGTCAACGTGGTCGCAGACTAAACTGTAGGGTATATATCTCTGCTTGCCAGTATCTTCTACACAGTCAAACAGTGGACATTCATTGACAATTGTAAGGAAATTTTGTAGAAAATCTTTGTTTCCAACATTTTCATATGCAGATACAATATTGTTTTCATATAACAAAAACTCCCCTTTGGCTAAAGCAGCATTGAAACTTTCCTGTGCGGCTGACTTTATATTCAAAACATTATTATTATCAAGTTGTTGCTGAAGAGAAACCTCACACAGGGACATAGATTTTTGTTCACTACAGATCACACTTTTCCATCCGTCATTAAATACATCTGCTATGTTGTTATTTTGATCTTCGTACCATTGGCCGTAAAACTGCCATATTCCACAGTCGCAGACGCCGAACCCACACGAGGGTTCACCTTGTAGCCAAAGACGAATGACCTGCGGTAGATACTGCCCTAAAGCTGTATACCAATGGAAACGTTTGGCATAGCTTGTAAAATCCCGACGAAGACCAATGTATATGTCAAATGTACGACTGTCATCATGGCTTAGATCAAAGTGTAGAGTGGCTTCTTCTTTTATCTTATTATATAACAAACTTTGTACTACTGCCAGCTCATCAGAGGATTCTATCCTTGTCAGATATCCGCCGTGAAATGCACTGCAAATAGTCATCGCATTAGACCATGTGATGCTCTCATGTACGAAAAATCCGTAGCAGGAGTGAACATGAATACCCAGAGTTACTTCGACACGAGAAACCCAACCTGGAAGACATTGTTCGCATAACGCCATCAGAAGGGTCTGTCCAATTCCTGTATTTCCAACATATGGAACAACAATAGTGTTGTGCAAATAAACAGTTTCTTTTATAAACGTATAACCATAAATTAGAACTAACATCTTGATGGGAGAATTTTGCTTTTGAACAATAGATGGCACTTTTCTTACATCTTCTTCTGTAAGATCGGCTCCACGAAGAAAGATAACTGCAACCTGAATAGCTGACTGTCTAGTCCCGCGCAAATGTTTAAACAAACGTTGAGCAAACTGAATTTTGAGTTCTACAACTTTCTCAATATCTGTAAGTCGATACTGGAGAGCAATCGTCGTTTCGTCCAAATAAAATTTGTGAATTTCAGCAATAGTTTTAAAACTCCAACGACTGTAATTTCTTTCGACAGAATGAGTAGTAGACGGGTCGACAACTGTAACATACCTATGTCTCGAGATGGGAGGCCTCTTAGTGAAATCTGCCACATGTCCGTACAGTTGTCTTAATGAAAGTAAATGTTCTCGCCAGATCATTGGATCAAAATGTACCAATCCTAAAATATCAAGCTCTTGGCCAGAGCAATTCAGAGGAAAATGACTCAGGTGTTCCCAAAAGCTTTCTGTAACAATGATCATACATGAAAGTAAACTACACAGAATAATTTAAAACTAGTTAACTACAGGTTTCTCTGCCTACCTGACGGCCTGAATATATGTTTATATGTCTATATAAAAGCATGTCTGTCTGTCTCTCAGTCTGTCTGTATGCCTGCCTGCCTGAAAGCATGTATGTATGTATGTATGTATGTATGTATGTATGTATGTATGTATGTATGTATGTATGTATGTATGTATGTATGTATGTATGTATGTATGTATGTATGTATGTATGTATGTATGTATGTATGTATGTATGTATGTATGTATGTATGTATGTATGTATGTATGTATGTATGTATGTATGTATGTATGTATGTGTATGTATGTATGTATGTATGTATGTATGTATGTATGTATGTATGTGTATGTATGTATGTATGTATGTATGTATGTATGTATGTATGTATGTATGTATGTATGTATGTATGTATGTATGTATGTATGTATGTATGTATGTATGTATGTGTATGTATGTATGTATGTATGTATGTGTATGTATGTATGTGTATGTATGTATGTATGTATGTATGTATGTATGTATGTGTATGTATGTATGTATGTATGTATGTATGTATGTGATGTATGTATGTATGTATGTATGTATGTATGTATGTATGTGTATGTATGTATGTATGTATGTATGTATGTATGTATGTATGTATGTATGTATTCTGTATGTATGTATGTCTATGTGTATGTATGTGTCTGTATGTGTATGTATGTCTGTCCTGTCTGTCTGTCTGTCTGTCTGTCTGTATGTCTGTCTGTCTGTCTGTCTGTCTGTCTGTCTGTGTCTGTCTGTCTGTCTGTCTGTCTGTCTGTCTGGTCTGTCTGTCTGTCTGTCTGTCTGTCTGTCTGTCTGTCTGTCTGTCTGTCTGTCTGTGTCTGTATGTATGTATGTATGTATGTATGTATGTATGTATGTATGTATGTATGTAGTGTATGTATGTATGTATGTATGTATGTATGTATGTATGTATGTATGTATGTATGTATGTATGTATGTATGTATGTATGTATGTATGTATGTATGTGTATGTATGTATGTATGTATGTATGTATGTATGTATGTATGTATGTATGTATGTATGTATGTATGTATGTATGTATGTATGTATGTATGTATGTATGTATGTATGTATGTATGTATGTATGTATGTATGTATGTATGTATGTATGTATGTATGTATGTATGTATGTATGTATGTATGTATGTATGTATGTATGTATGTATGTATGTATGTATGTATGTATGTATGTATGTATGTATGTATGTATGTATGTATGTATGTATGTATGTATGTATGTATGTATGTATGTATGTATGTATGTGTGTGTGTATATATGTATGTATGTATAATGCCATCACTCAGTTTTTACGAGGTCTTCCTCTCGCTCTATACCCGTTGTAACTTTTCAGTGTGGCTTGTCGTGGTAGATAGTACCAGGGCATTCTTGTTAAGTGTCCAAACCACTTCATTTGTTGTTCCTAGATGACCTGTACTACTGGCTTTATTCCTAGAATTCGTCTGATCTCCTGATTTCGTATTCTGTCTTTCCTTGAAACTCCTGCAGCTATTCTACGGCTTTTCATCTCTGTTGTCACAATTTGAAGTTGATTAGAGGATGTAAGTGTCCCCGTTTTTCACTGAGAGCATAGTGTTGGCCAACGAATCTTTCTGATAAGATTTACTTTAGTACTCTAGAGTATCTGCGTTTGGATTGGAATCCCCACCTGGAAAAAGAATACTAGTCAGAGAAATTATGGAAGCCTATACTATCTGCAGCAATGTTAACACACGAACTGCTACACGCTGCTGAAGAATGCAGATTGTAGAAAGGCATGATCGCCCACGCCAGTCGCCACGGCAATTGATGATGATGATGATTCATTTTACAGATAACATTGATATTGTTAGAGAAAATGTACTAGAGACTGTAAAAACACTGATCGCTCAATATGAAAATCAAAGCATATAAGTACTTGGGTGCAAGCTTCACCTGCTCCAACATTCTGAGAGAAGAAATAATTACTAGAATAGGTTAGCTGCGTATCCTTTACAGGACGTTGCAGAACCAATCCCAACAGCCAATGGCTGTTTATGGTTTCTCTAGGCAAATTTACGTCCAGTAGTTTACCAATGCTTACTTGACGGTCGGCTTTCATGATAATACTGTCGAAACCAACACAAGGCGCATGGCCCGCAGCTGTGATCTAACCCGGCATCCCGGCATTACAGAGCCGACTAATTACTAGAATACAATCTGGAAATAAAGTATGCTATGAAGTTCAACATCTGCTAAAGTCAAAGTGTGTACCTCGCATCACCAAGATCAAAATATATAAAACGTTAATAAGACCTGCCGGTATATATGGCTCTTGGAGCACAACTAAAAGAGATGAAGCCTTTTTACAAATTGTTGCAAGCAGTCTTACGACGAAACTTTGAACCCAAGGATGCAGAAATAAAGAGTGAGAAGCCACAACGAAATTCATTATCAGTTTAAATTACCATTGATCACTGGCGTCATCTACAAGAATGAAACTGCTGCGGCATATTGAGAGAATGTCAGATGACAGAGAGCTAAAACACAAGGGAGCAGAATGGTCAAGATAATGTCCAGACAGACTTGTAAACACTTTGTGTCACCAAGTGGAAAGAGAAGGCCCACCAGAGAGATGAGTGGTGGCATGTAAGTAAGAAAGTAACTTTTACCCCACCAGGATATCAGACAGAGCGATAAACACCCAGTGACACAAAGTGCTACAATGCGGATAAGGATCACACATGAAGAGGTCCCGGAAACCACGGTCAAACGTTAGGCTACATTGCAGCCCACGGCAAGAGCCAGAGTGTGGTTTCAAAATATAGAAAATTTGCATCCCACAAGGGAATGACGAAGATATAAAGTGGCGGGTGATTTCTGCAGTAATGAAACTCAAGGGCTAAGAATGCTAGAGAAGAATAAGAAAGACTACTGGAGTTCTGCACTACACGTGACCTATGTAGAAGTGGCTGATAAATTGTGGTGGCGGAAGTGAAACAAATTAATGAAAAGATGATATAGATCTATTAATTTAGGCATGGAATCTATCTTAATATTTAAAGATGTTACACTGGGAAAATGATAATAAAACTGTGATAAAGATAAAAACAAATCAGTTGGTGTATCATGCAATTTTATCTTAAAAGAAACTAATATAGATCTATACGCTACACTAGCTGAACCAATAAAAACAATGCATGCAGTTTAATCTGGAAAAGGTTGAACTCGACAATGCTCATATATACAAAATGAGAGGAAAAATATACAGATGTATAGATTAAATTAGTGCATTGAATTAAATAATGTGTCTCACAATGAAATGTCTCAGAATGTTAGTAGGATGTCCTGTTTTTAGTTCAAGATATTATTATGACACAAATTAGTAGTGGCCGTTGTTGTTACTAATTTAGTAATAATAGTAGTACTAGTGGCAGTAGAAGTAATAATAGTAGAACTGTTAGTAAGTGAAATAAAAGTAAAGGACCTTTTTTCACGCCATTAGGTGTATAAGGCATATAGGGCTAGACCTATATTTTTATAGACCAAGCGGCACAAGATGGGTGATGTGGTCGGCATTACGCCGGCTGCCTTTACTTCTCGGGACTGCACCCGGTACCCACTCAAAGCTGGGTGGACCTGGCAGCCAAGGTCATTTTTACCCATTCAAGGCTATTTGACCGGTAAGTTGCTAAAAAAAAAGGTAAATTAACTTATGTATAAAGCCATCTTCCAGTTAAAACACACCGCGAGCAACGCATGTCGCCAGTATCACAGAAAAAAACAATGTGAAAGCC